CATCTCCACCACCTGTGTCAAGAAGTTTCCCCAGGGAAACACTCATGTGCACAGTGTTGTATATGCATAGGGAAGCAGAGGTTCAGAACAGGCTACTGCTACCGCATGCGCTGCAGAGACCATCCACATAGACCCAGCGAGCGTATACCCATGAGCATGCACCAGATATGCTGAGCGTGCACAGTCAAACTCATAAGCCTTAATGGCAGTCATTTTGCTCACAATGACCTGCCATCAGGCAGCTCAGTCAGAGTTACTGCTCTGGCTACACCAAGTATAAGCTGCAGTTCCAGACCAAGGGATAAATTTCTCTTCTTTTGTTGGAAGAAAATCTCTTTTTCTAGGGTTTTCTAGGTGTGTGGAAATACTACCTAGTGTCCTACTCTGTGTTAGCTGTGTTTTGTGCTGTCCCACTCCCTAGGCTGTCTTCGCTTTATTGCAACTGAAAGCTCCTTGCACTAGGGCTCTGTCCACTGCTTCCTCTCCTTGCAGTGTGAGACAGTGATGAAGAGGGAAACATTCTTGGTTGATTTAGTTATAATAATGCACAATTAACTATATTCTTATGACTCCGAAAGCCTAGGCTCTTGGCTAGCATTGTCAAAGTTGGCCTATAAAACATTGTGTTCAGGTGGTTCCTTCCAATAGAGAGAAGCAATGACACAGATACACGCTTTTGGTCCAGTACAGCACTGGAGGTTTATTTTCACTGCTGCCTTTACAGAATTTGCAGTTTCATTTCACCTTCCTTTCTCCCACTCAGAGCACTGGGATGCAAAGGAGAGACTATCATTGGGAGAAGTCTGTTTATATGTTACTGGCAGAGACCAGCAGGGTCCATTTTCCAGGTCCTGCTGGCACCAAACAATTCAGAAACTCGAAGTGGATATGAAATCTGGTGCTCAGCAATGGAGAAAAACAGCCAACTCGCTAGCAGAGATCTGAAGACCCAGTGTCTGTTGTGACAAAACCCCAACCCTGGACACAATGAGGAAAGACAAGGACAGGGAATATGCTCTAGATCTCATATGGTCACCAACAGCGAAATGGATCTAGTACTGAGGATAACTCATCCTTAAGGGCAACAAGCATGTCCCTGCACAGCACCTTGGTCAGGGTGTGGCAAGAGCAAGGAACAGACCTCAGTCTTCTGTACAGCTTTGCTTTGCAGGATCAAGATCAATCTGTGCAAGCGATGAGATAGCTGTGAGATGAATAAGTACAGAGGATTTATCTAAGAGATTTCTCACAAATCCACGGAGCAGAAAATTCACAACTGGAGGTCTGAAAGTGATCTTTCATCAGGACAACACATTGCTGCACAGGGCTGTTTGAGAGAACCCTGCAAGAGACATGGAACAAAAGTGAGATCAAACAGAATGCTGAGATTGTCTTCTGGAGGCAAGGAAGAAGAAACATCTGATTTTGAAAGGTGGAGCCCAGAGGAGGTGACAGAACCCAGCTTCCAAAGGGCAACTATTACAAAACAAGTAATGTACACCAAAATAAACTATCTACTTCAGAGATTACATGCCCAAGTCATTTTACCATTGGGGAACCCGGATCTGAATCAGACAGACACAATGGCCTGAAATGACAGTGACAACAACCATCAGCATGAGAATGGCAGTGCTGAGAGCTTCAGTGAAAGATGATGGTCTTCAAGGAACTTGCAAGGACTGAAAGCTGAATTTACAAAAGGAAATAAGCCAAGTGGATGGAGTTCTGACCTACTGAGAGCATAATTTTTGGTGAGTTTCCTTGAAAGTGGGAAGTGTTAGAGACTAACTAATTGTGTTGAATGCTAGAAGAAGGAAGGGGCCAGGTCATTATTAATATTAGTCACTGGACCAAATCATAATGTGTTCCCTCCGGCAGAATGCTGAGTTTTGTCCAAGTAAAGACTGAGCCAAAATGAAAGTTCTGACTTGTGTTGGCACCAGCCAAGCAGCAAAGGGCCAAGTCCTTGCATCCACTCTATGACAGTGGCATTTGGCAGAGTGGGTACAAGCTGGACAAAACCAGTAACACCAAGCTGGACCATATGCTTTTTTGCCTATGCAACTGTGGGCAGTGCAAACAAATAACCTCTATGTCTGAGCAGCTAGATGAAGCAGTGAGTGAGATACTAACATCACCCCTGCTTTTCACAGCTACATGCCTTTACAAGATACAGGGCAGTAAAAAGCAGGCCTTTTGGAGTTCAGTGACATACAGGTGGTGGAAAGAACTCCTTAGATCTGGTGCAGGAATTCTGAGTGTCTAGTGCACTAGGCAGTCTGAATTAGCACTGTTTTTAAAACAGAATCAAACTCACTTCATGCCATTGAGTTTAGAGCCATCTTCCCAAACCCATCCCGAGCCTGTGCTGTTGCTCAGTCCAATCCAGAAACATCCTGTTTGAATACTCTTGAACAGGTCCTAGAAGTGGTGAGGAATTACAGAGGGACTAATCAGAACCAGCTTGAAAATGTAAGTAAGAATGAGTCAAGAGAACAAAGACCAAGATACTTCTGCCTCGCCTGTTTGTTATGTGGCTTACAATGCTGCTTCTCTACATCTTCTAATCAAGAAGATCATCCCTGCAGATCATGTCTGGATTAACAAGTATGGGTACAGTCATGAGGAAATAAGCATGCTTTCAGGGGTCCTGGGCTGATTCTTCACAAGACATTTCTCAGGAAACTAAGTGAACCAAATGCACATCAGTCTCCTGGAGTTTCCTATACAGAGCACTAAGTAGGAATGTTTATTATTAGTATTAATACTAATGCTCTACTACATATCTACATAGGTAATATACAGCATTACCAATCAGGGTAAAATCAGGTCACGGCAGGAAGTGAAGGCACCAATAGATCTCTGTGAAGAGCCCAGGACCAAAGCTCATTAAAATTGTATATGAACTTTCTCCTCCTACACGTTTCCAATGTTCATTTCCTTTTGCCTAACTTTTAACTCCTCTGTCAAAAAAGCCTGTTATTTTTAAAAGGCGAAGCCTGCAATACAAATTCAATCCTGAAGTAAATCCTATCAAAAAAAGCCAAGAGAGAGAAATTTGCCTCCCCCATATTTGCACTGAATCCCAACAAAAACAAGTTTTCAGTGATTGGGCTGTGCCCCATTCTTACTTCCTGCTGCTATAAAGAAAGCTTCAAGGCAGACATCTGCACACAGAAGTATTAACAAAGCTGGGAATATGAGTTGCCTGAGGAATGTCTGAGTGTTGGAGGTGGTTGTGCTTCCCTCCCTGGAAAAAGGAAGGGATGCTGAACACTGACAGCCTTTGCAGCACAGGGCATGTGTAACTGAATAGGTAGGAAAGTCCTGCTTTTGTGGGGAAGTCTTAGCAGGAATACTGGGCAACACTCTAGTAGCAGAGACAATGGTGGGAAAGCAGCAGGACCATGGAGGGTTTCCTCATGCAAAGAAATGGATAATTGGGGAGTATGGTTGTTTTTCAAGTAGTCAGGATTTGCCTAAGCAAGCGTGAGGGCCTGGTGCATTCTCCCAATCCAATAGAGACGCGGCTTTGTAAGTCTGTAGAACATCATACAATGCAACTTCTGTCCAAGAACTGGAAGCAGTTTAGCCACATTCATTGGACCTGAGCAAATAAGCCCTAGCTTATATGGAACCAGATCAAGTGTTTCTGCTCTACTGGTGCAGACATGCCTCACTTGCCCCACGATCAACCACCGCTACCCATTTGTTCAGTGCTCATTAATGCCCCTGTCCCCAACAAGCACCTGCTAGAAAATGAACAATGGAACAGATGGTTTTTGGTATCACCAGCACAGCTGAGTTCTTGGTACAGAGAGGAAGTAAGCATTGAAAATAGAATAGCACTGAGAAAGAAATATCTGTGCAGGAACACAGGGAGCGGCAAGTGTCACTGAGCAGAAGGAGCTGGAGGGGGTTGCAGGGAGGAGAGGCATTGCTTTTGCGAAAGAAGTATGTCTGAAGTGTGGGGATGTGTTGGTTTCTAAGCAAGGAGCGCAGAGACTGCATAAAGACACAGTCTTTTCCTATGATCGTTCATATCAGCCTTAACGGGGCTAGAAGGGGAGGCAGAAAGGGGCAGCGGAAAAGGCTGTCCTGCAACATCCTTCCTAAGATGATTCTGAGTAGCTGCCAGTGACCCTCCCCTCTCCCCCTGCCATCTGCTTCTTTGCCTGCTGGGAACTTCTTAGATGTACACTGAGACTGGCAGTGCACTATATTGTCACAGTCATAAATCCTTCCTCCCTTTTAATGTCACAGTTTTGCCAGAGTGACAGCACTCTGTCAAAGCAAGGCCCAGATGCCTTGCTATTTGCAAGGAAACGGAAGGTCCTCAAATAATAAGACTGTAAACCATTACCATTTCCCTGGTGTCGCTGATCACTAGGAGATGAGCACCCTGTGCCCAGCAGGATTCTTGGCTGGAACTCCAATCCCTCCTCTCTTTGGAGAAGGTGTAGCAGCCCCCTCTGTAGGCTATCCACTGCTCAGGGCAGCGTGGGTGAGAGTCATCTGTAAAGAAATCAGAATACCAACGTTTTTTTACTGTTAACGAATCTGAAGAGCACTTGCAAGCAAGGACCTACTGAAAAGCAACCCTCTTGGACAGCGATAATACAGAAATCACAAGTCAGGATAAACATCTAAAAATAGCAAAACATGAACATGTAACTTCAGGCCCTCTGTGCAATTTCCACATCTTTGTACATAAGTCACATGTGCTCTGACGCTGATCAGAGGAAAACCCCCTGGATTTCCTCTGAACTGCTCAGATGTCTGAGAACCAAACCTGGCCATCTGAAAGCGAAAGACACTCTGAGTGTGCAAAAGTAAGGGAAAAAATTTAATCATTTTGTGGGTATGGTATGATCATGTCATTCATCAGGTGAACAGATTTTAAGCAGCAAGCACTAGGCTCTATGATATGGTTTAACACCTTCTGTATGCATGCAAGCGTGTTATATACCTAGTGTATTTGTTTTACAGTTTGCCACCATGAGTACAGCAGACAACTCTACAAAGAGCAATCAGTATGTTTCACTGTTCTTTGCCAGAGGGCCTGAGATTGATCGCCTTGGGTCTGCACAAGGAATATATTTCTCAAAATATAGGAATTGGAACTGGACAGGTGTTAGGTATTAACAGCTGGTAGAGAGCTAGAACAACTTCTAGTTTAATCCCATATAAAGAAGTTCAGGATCTGAACTCTTTCACTTAGATGAGTCTCGAGTTCTTTGCTCTTGGGTATTCATGCTCAGCACCCCTTTGTGCACTTACTCATCTTCCAAATCAAAGCAGTTGCTAAGGAGACGCTCAGTATCCCAAAACCTATAGCCAAGCCCTGTACAACTGCTGATCACAGACAGGGAGCTGTAAAAGACAAAAGAAAAATCACAGTGAACAGGAGCCACAGGGGAAAGAGCAGTTTTTAGATAGCTTGCTTGTGTCCTGGGCAGTTCTATAAGGAACTAAACTATTTAGAACATCCCTCTCCCAACATTCAGGATAGGCACAACAGAGACTTTGTTTGACATGTTGCAAGTCTTCACCTCTGAAAGGAAGAGAAAGGATGCACTGTAAGATCTTTCCACAAGTCCTTTAGTAATATACCTATGCTCTGTGTCTTCAAGAATGAGTGTCTATGCTTTGCACATTACAACCATTCTCCACAGCAACACATTTCTGCATAGACATGACATACTGTCAGGGCCCTGAGGGCAAAATCAGGCCTTATTGGTCCTCCTCAGCCACAGCTACCATTTTCTATTTTAAGTGCAAAACCAAGACCTGTTACCCAGCTCTCTCAGCAAAAGCATCCTGTTCACAGACTTGGTCATATAACTGTGTTCTCTCTTCCCAAGACATTCCCAAATCAGCCCTATGTTCTTATCCATATATTTGTTGTGGAAGTACCAGGATGAGGGGACCAACCCTGCAAGGCCTTCAGATGTCTCTCCACATTTTCTTCACCACCACCCATTTACTTGCTGTCCCTGGCAGAAGTTGGTTTCTTAGTGCAGCCTCCATCATAGTCTAGAACAACTTCCTTTCAAAGGGTGGGACAGGATTGCAACTTAGAGGACTAAGAGATCAGTTTTCAGATAGTAAGACCAACCAATTTTTAATCTGATGTTATTTTCCCATTGTCATGTCCTGGAGCTTGTGTTTGACCCAAGAGATGTTCAGTTTCTATAAGTTGTCTGAAATCTCAACACTAAAATCTACTCTTCTGAGGATGGAGAAAGGACTGACTACATTTACTACCACAGTTGAACTTTAGGGGGTTTTTGTTTGCTTGTTTTAGTTATTAATCTCAATATGACAGTTGAATAGACAACAAGACTTTCTATAAAGCACGGAATGTACAGTTAATAGCTGCTGATACTGAGGAATCAAAGATTTTCTTGTTTATCTCAAATTTATATACTGCATCCTTCTATTGTATGCCAAAGTCTTCTATATAATCCAATGGCAAAGTCCCTGGTGGAGCTCATGATATTTCAGATACTTTTCTGTTTGTATTGTCACAAAACCTAAACAACCATATTTGTACTCCTAAACAAATGCTAGGAGTCTAAGGAATAAAATGGAAAAAAGTGAAGCCCTAGCTTTAACCAGTGATACTGCCACAGTAAGCATATCAGAAACTTGGTAGTAGGGCTCTGAGTGGAATGTTATAACACTAGAATACAAAATAAGCAGAGAAAACAGAGGAGGCTCCAGGAGGCTGGAGGAGATTAGCTTAATAAATTAACTGCATCAACAAGTAACAGTAAGAGGAACCCCATAGACCAGGCAAATACCAGTAAATACATAGGATTAGAATTATATATGGATTGCCAGACAAGGATGATGACAGCACTCATGGGCTGATGAAGAAAATTAGAACTACAGTGAAGGAATCACAGTGATAATAACAGGCATCATTAATAGCATTAAACTAAGCAAATGTCATGTCAGAATATGATGCTGAGATTAAATGTTCAGACAACATCAATAATAACTTCACAGAGCAGCAAGTCAGGAAACACAGAGAAGTGGAAGCAGCTTGTGACTGCCCTGAGCTATGCACAGGCCCTGGCTTACCGTGATTCCACCCAATAACATCTCTGTCACAGTGACTACAAAGGCATTGAGATTCAACATCTTTGCAGGAGTTAAAAAAAGCCGAACAATCATTATAGTATAATAATTGCAAAATGGGAAACTTCAGGAAAATGAAAAAGTTTGTTAAAGAGAAATTAAAACGGATAGCTAAAAGAATAAAATTTTTGTAAGCAGTAGTGGAGACTATTTAAGGATCCCATTGTGGAGGCTGAAAACATATGCACATCATATATCAAGAATATGGTGGAAACATAAAAAAAAAAAAAAACCATGGTGCTAAAATCAAAGGGTCTGCACTTAAGACAAGAATGCATCCTTTAAGATTAGGAAGCTTGTCCAAATGAGGAACATAGAACGGATCATAAACTCCAGCAGATCTGTGTTAAACTATAGAAAGGCAAAGAGATTATGGTGGGGAAGTATCACTCAACATTTAGCCTGCTGTTATGCTTTTTTCTTCAGGATTTAGCTATTAGTCACCTGCAGGGAAATATTACCAACCATGATGGACCTTGATTAGACTGCAACGAGAGTGTTTTGTTTCCTACTTGTACTAAATTATTTTGATTTTTAGAGAAGTTTTTAGGCTCACTAGTTTTAATAGCTTTTCCTGTTTTACAGCAATATATTTTACAGCTGCGGTTTTGGCTAAAAGGAGTTCCCATTGTAACCAGGGAAACAGTGTAAGAGAGTTTAGTTTTAAGCACCATTCTTCTGGTAGAACAATGTTTCGTAAGACAAAGGTTTTGTAGTATTTCTTGAAGCCAGTCAGTCTGGATTTGCAGGATCTTCTAGCTGCCCCACTTCTAGCTAAAAAATATCAACATTTATTTATTTTTAAATCATTATTAAAGAATAAAAACGTTTCAGTTACAAAAACAGAAGGAATCCTCTACTTCATACATAGAAGGAGACATCAGGAGAACTGAAGATCTTGAACTCAGTAGCTATTCTCTCTGCTTGTTCTCTATTCATCTTGTAAGGCACCTTTGTATCTATGGTAACTTGGTTTTTGCCATCAAATTAATCCTCAAGTGAATGGAGTCAGACTGAGGTTAAGTGGTAGTGTGGAGCTGCTTCTCTGCAGATTAAAACTGAAAACTGAGGAAAAGGGGATAAATATCTGTTGAAACATAATTCTTTTTTCTGAGATCACATGTCTGAGCAACTGAGCACTCACACTTCTGTTTTCCTTCCTCTCTTGCATCTCAAAGAGGATGTCTCCTGCACCCTCCAGATCACTGTTACTAATTTTACGGAAAACGACTTCCGGGACAAGGTTACTGGAACAACAGTCAGCGAAACAGTTAATCTTTAAATGTCAGCACAGGTATCTGAGCTGGCACCTACCAGCAAAGAATAGAGCAGTTCATCCTCTGTTGTCTCAAACCAAATGCAGAAAAAAGGGAACTAACTTGAACAAGTGAATAGGCATCAAACCACAATTCCAGTGCATCTTCACAACCAGAACAGCAGGAGAGTTCCCTTTTTTTTTAATGAAAAAATATGCACTTAGATAATTTTTGAAGGAAAAAAAACAGTATGAAACTGAAGAGAGCAAGTCATATTGAAGCTTTCAAGATGAATTTGAGCCTTGCTTGAATGGCAGTGCTCAACCCAGGGAAGTGGAATAAAACATTTGATAAAATAGCATTTGTCCCTGCAGCATTTGTCCGTGCAGTTCCCCTTTTTAAAATAGACTCAAGAATCTGTGCTTGACCCTCAAGTCACTGGAGTATCATGTTAAGCTCCTTCCGGGAAAGGGAGGGAGAAGTAGCCAAGATGAGTCTGAAATAGAGGGGGAAAGTCTGAGCAGAACATCTAGAAATATTTTCATACAGTTGTCTGGGATACTGTGGAAAAATCTCCCCAAGGTAAGAGAGAGGTGGTCTGATTTGATATTTAGTGTCAAAATCCAATGTTATAATTTTCCTATATAAAAAATACAAAGTTAGGTCTGTTAGAGCTCTGGAAAGCTAACTGTGATAAACTGCATTCATCCATAACACAATAGAGTATTTTTAGGGTTGAGAGTCCAGATTCAGTTCAGAAACTGAAAATTGTCATCATTTAATAATTCAAGTCTTCAAGGACAATCAGAAGAATGCCATTGCACTGTCCCAGATAGATACCCTCAGCTCTTTTCTACGTCAGTATGGGAGCAGCATGACTACACAGGGCAAGGGAGGAGGATCTGAGGGACAAGACCTGTCCCTAGCTATGGCACAGGCCAGGTTACTTGCTGTTACATGCTGCACTGGTGAACACTCTCAAGTGACTACTTGAGTGGTATGTTGGTAGCGTGGAATATTTCAGGCTCTCTGGCAGCCAGAGAGAACACAGCTGGTGCAACTATTCATGTTAGTGGAGTCCATGTGAGCCAGAACCAGTTGTTTTGACCCTGTTATACTGGGTCACAAGTGTGATTCAGTAGTAAGGGTGTGCATTTGAAAGCAGAGATGATATACGTGGAAATGCATCTCTCAAGAGAGGCTGCGGGGGGAGGCAGCACGCAGAGAGAGTTGAAAGTCAAAGTCTTGCTAAAAAAAGGTACTTAAGCTGTGCTCAGAGCGACAGTTCTTGGCAGGCAGAAGGGAGCTGGAAAATAATTAAATGATATGCACAGAAATGTGTGTTCAAAGACTAGCTTCCTCTTTTCAGGCCCTCTGGTTTTATCTCAAAAGGAACAGTTTGCTTTGGCAATTTGGAGAAGAGGAACATTAACAAGAAAACTGCAAACATCTCAACAGGGGATCCTGGAATACCCACCTCCCATTGGATGGGATGAGCACAAGCGGTGAGGAATGAAGGGATGTGTCTGCATTTTCTGACACATCTGAAAACATGTCTAAAAGCAAGATCGTCTTCCAAGTAAGTTCACTGTGGCTAGCAGATAAGAACTTTGGGAGTTCTGTGCCAGCATTGCTTCTATAGCTCAGTAAGCAATGGGGCAGCACTAACAACTGCAGATATGTACAGTTACTCTGAACAGGACGCAGAAATCTCCTGTCCCAGAGTGAGAGCCCTGGTTGCTATAACAGCTCTAAAAAAAGTTATGAACAGCCAGTAGTGTTGCAGCCAACACAAAGCCCTTCACCTAAAGCATATGCGCATTTAGAGGAAAAGCAATCAGCTCATGGGCAGAAGACATTTATAATGAAAGGTCACCACTGCAAAATCTCACTATTCAAAGGCACAAATAAGAGGCCAGAGAAATTGTTCAGTATGACACTTGCAGGGTTTAAATAGGGGGAATGAAATGAAAACTAGGAAAGAGAAAATTTAAGGCAAGTACTAAAAAATTGTTCCTGATAGTAAGCTGTCCTGTAGAACTGTCTCAGAGGAAGGCTGAAAGTTTGCTCACTGGAAGTATATAAAATTGAGCAAAGAAAGCACAGAAAAAAGGCATCTCAGAACAAACCTGCAGAGCCCCCATAGGAGAGAGAATGGATGATCGCATAAGTCCCTTCTGTCTCTGATCTCTGATTAGCATACGCCTTTATCTGTAGCTCCATCTCACCCATCTTTCAAAGAACTATTACTGACAAGCAGACAACTTTAAAAAGTATAAATCTCTTTTGGCAAAAGGAGTGCCTGAATTGAGTGCCCAATAGGAGACATTGAAAGGAGTCTGATGGAGAGAGGGAAGGGAAAAGTGCTGGGTCTTTGGCCCGTTGGCTTTTGTCACAGGAGAACACTCAGACAATTTTTAAATCAAAGCTACAGCACCCTGAGCTGGTTATTCAAAATCTGTGGCCACTTCAGAGTGTATTTGCTAGATCTTGTGGAAATACCATGAAATAAAATCCTTTGTTCACCTACCTCATCTAGCTTCCTTACCTGTCCTTTCCCATCTTGCTTTGGCCTGCAGTGGAGGAGTCTGAGAGAACTTGAGAGATGTATAGATTATTTCCTCACTTGTTCCTGCTGCAGAAGTTTCTGACCTGCTTTCCTCCATGCCAAAACAAAGAGTGCGTATAACAAGATGTTTCGATCAGGCTGTTGAGCGACGGGGTTCAACGTCTGTGAAACAGGAAACCTGAGGCTGCATTCAGAAGACAAGAAATGTGAAGTTGCAACCTCTGTCTCCAGCTGTGCAAAATGAGCAACTTCACACCAGAATGGAGAGCACTGGAGGCGCAACAACTTCCATTTCCTAATCTGCTGAGGGGTGATATAAAGCAGTAGCTAGGGGAAGAGGTGATTAATCTCAACGTTCCTGGGTTTTCTAACTGTTGTCAACACAAGAGGCTTTGATTACATTGTGGTAGTAACTGCGTAAACATGGGCAGCTCTGAAGAGCTCCCTCTCAGGATAAGGTATTAAGCAGGTGGATAGGGACAGTACAAGGTAAATAGCACCAGTGGGATAAGCAATGGCTACACCAGACTAGGAAGTCCTACTGTTGTCAAAAGCTTTAGAGTGAAGTAGAGGTGCACATCATGGTTTTGAGAAGGAAGCCTGTGAGCTTTGGACGCTTTTACTGGGAACTCTTTCTACACCCAACACCAAGTATGAAGGTGCTTGGGACACAGGCAGACACCGAGAGTTAGCATCCCTCAAGACCTTCCGAGTCAGTATCTCAGCAGCATCAGAGATAACAGGGTATTTTTCTGCTGTAGTGGCAAAGATTGATCACTGGAGGAATGGTGGGGAGTACTGATGCTTCTAGCACACGGAGAAACCCCTTAACTGCATGGCTGCCTGATTTTCCTTTTGGGTTTGGATTCTGATCCCCTCCAGTTCCTGCTCAATTGGAAGATGTTTGATAGGTTTGGGGGATACACCTTCCTCACTCGTACAGTTCACTTAGTGAATTGTCTGGGCATTTTCACCAAAGGACTTTGTCATGTTTTTCAGTTCCAGAACAGGAATGTTTTCTTTCTGTCCTCGTGGCACACTGTAAATTTGAGGAGTGGTTGTGGGGGAGGGTATACAGCTTGATATAGAGTGCTGTGGACAATTTGCAACATGTGCATGTCCAGGAAGATAGGGAGTGGCTATTCCTGCAAACTCTTTCATCACACGCTTGCCTCTAAGGGTGGCACATTGCATCTATGAGATTCCTTCCAATCTTGTGTTTCTATGTAGGGCCTTTAGATGGGAAGACAGGGGGTCTGTACCTGAGGGGAAAGGGAAGTTAGACGAGAACAAAGAAACACAAGAGGAGGGAAGCCTCCTTCGAGTGCTCTGAATGGATATTAGGGGAATCTAAAGAGAGTTGTCAAGCCCTCAGAGGAAGAACTTGCCATAGTCATGATGAAAGCTTAGCTGGGAATGTAATTTGTGTGGCTGGAAAGAAGCTGACAAGATTTAGAAGCTGCTTAAACGCCCAGACCAAGGGAAAAAGGCTGCAATCAAAGCTGAACCACTGGCTGGCTGCAGGGCCTGCATGTTAAGGAGGATGGTGTTGTTGTTTGTGAACAAGCAGAGAAGTGAAGGCTGGTGTGGAAGAATTAAGAGCTCTGTTTTGATGGGTTTTACCTTATTCTCTCAAGTATCAGTGATAAGTTGAATTCTTAGTTTGAATAGGGAATAGTGAAGTGATCCCCCCATTGGAGGGTATTCAGGCAACACACAGTTAATATCTAATTGTGAATATAAATAAATCTGACTTCTGTTACTAAGATGTCTGTGCTATACTCCCAGTGGAATCAGCAAAAGGACACAAATCACAGCAGGACTAAAATGATCAGTTTGCTAGGAGCCAACAATGTTCCTTCCCACTACTATCAAGAAGCATAGCTTAGGAAAGTCTCTCAAACTCCTCACAAACAAGTGGCTTCTCTAGCATGCTTACAGACTCACCAAACCCAGGATTATTTTCCTATTAAGAGGTGAAGCAAGCCTGAGAGCTCTCACAAAGAAATTCTGTCATTTGTCCCCATCCCTTCTAATAACACAGCCCTGGAAACTAGACTCTTTTATCATAGCAGTGCGAGGATGACTCAAAAAGAGGTGTCTTTTAGATGGGCCAATCTCAGATCATTTATAGCCTTATAAATCATATTCACGACATTCAAGTCCATCAAGTTTGTGCATGATCAGCTGGGACCTGGATCTCATCTGTGGTGGAAAAACTTGCAACAGCTGTTGGAGACACCTTTAATCAAAAATATAATAAAATAGCATGCCAGGCAGAAACAAAATCAGAAGAAGCAAGGCCACAAAATGATCTTATGAATGACAGTATCCCTTGCCAGTTAAACAAGAAATCATTTTGGAAGTACATAACTGGGATGTCATAATTCAAGGAAAGTGATGGTCTATTACCATCAGTAGAGGGGGTGGGGGGGAAAGGTAAGCTATGGCTAGATGATACTGTGTAGTGTTTTTTCTTTATGCTTATCTGCTTCTAGTTGATCTGAACCTGTACTGAGGACAAGGGTAAGATTTCAGCTTTAAAGAGGTAAAGTTAGAAAGTATTAAATGAGATGTTTTCATCTTGATACCTGGTGTGCTTCAGCCTGCAGGACTGGCTTTGACTCTGAGCTCTATAGTGACTCTTAGAGTGCCCGTGGAGGGGGAGCAAAGAATACTAAAGGCAATATAGTACTTGCTTTTAAAAAGACACAGGAAAAAAAGATGAATCCCAGAAAAGTACAGGAGCAAGCAAGGAGCAAACATCTGGAATAAAAAGGTAACAATGGAGATGAATTTGCCAGGAATGAGTTATGTTAAACCAATCTAATCTTAGCTAATCTGTTTCTCTTCTGCTTCAGAGTAACTGTGATCTTGTAGGCAGAGAAGCAGCAGAAAATCTTACGGATTTTGATTTTACCAAGGTTTTTAATGCTGTCTCGCATCCTGTTCTCACTAACATGCTCTACAATAAACTACAATGAAGGTGCAAAACCGTCTAGAAAACCGTACCTCAGAGAGCGGCTGTTAACAGTTCGCTGTCAACAGTGGAGAGACGTACTGAGTGAGATGTGACCAATACCAATTAGTATCTCTATTAAGGATGTGAATGATGGGGGGAAAAGTACAATTACTAAACTGATGACAAGCGACACCAACTTGGGAGGGCTGCAAGCACACAGGAGGGCACATGTTGACCAGGTGAGCCAACGGGAAAATAAAAGCGACACCATTCACGTCAGACCTGCGCACGGCTCCGGGTGCAGATAACACACCCACTGAGACAGGGGCGCGGCGCCCCAACCGCCGCCCGGCGTCCCAACGGCCTCCACGTGCCGTGCGCAGCCACACTACAGCCCCCAACAGGCACCGTGACGGCGCCACGGAGAGAGACGCAGCGAGAACCTCACCCCTA